ACGGCTGCTCAGCTCGGGCTGACTCGAACCGCTGTTGCTCAGAGCTCAAACTCTTGAGTGAGCTCTTAACCAACTGAGCCACTCAGCCGGCCCTGAGCACCTCTTATAATTGCAGAAATCACACATGACTTGTATTCATATTTTGTTATCAGTATATATTGAGCATTAAATTTTAATATAGTTTTTTCTTTTCTTAAAATGTATATACATTTTTTGACACCCTCTGTATATACCTGCACACACCTGTGCACACTGCACACCTCTGCACACACCTGTGCATACCTGCATACCTCTGCACACACCTGCACATACCTATGTACATCTGCACACACCTGTGTACATCTGCACACCTCTGCAAGCACCTGCACATACCTGTGCACACCTCTGCACACACCTGTGTACATCTGCACACCTCTGCACACACCTCTGTACACCTGCACACCTCTGCACACACCTGGACACACCTTTGTACACCTGCACACCTCTGCACACACCTGCACACACCTCTACACACCTGCACACCTCTGCACACAGCTGCACACCTCTGCACACACCTGTGCATTACCTGCACACTGTGCACACCTGTGCTCACTCTGCATGTCTGTGTCTGCAGGCCCGCAGCCTCCAGGCTGTGCCCCGGCTGGTGAAGCTCTTTAACCACGCCAACCAGGAGGTACAGCGCCATGCCACGGGTGCCATGCGTAACCTCATCTACGACAACGCGGACAACAAGCTGGCCCTGGTGGAGGAGAACGGCATCTTCGAGCTGCTGCGGACGCTGCGCGAGCAGGATGACGAGCTTCGCAAGAACGTCACAGGTGCCGGTCCTGCCTGTCCCCTGCCGTCCCCTTTCCTTCACCCTGCCTTTCTGTCCCTTTCTCTCTTCTCTGTCTCTGTGCTTGTCCCTCCCTGTCCCCTCTCTTTTCTTGGTCCCCACCATGACTCTTGGGACCTGCCTCCAGCATCCAGGGCCCACGTCCCCAGGCTCCACTGCAGCTGCGTGACCCTGCAGGTCACACTCTGGCTTTCCCCAGCAGGGTTCTGGGTGAGGCTCAAAGTATCACGTGGAGCCCTGGGAAAGGTTAAGCGCCTCCTCCCATCATCCCCGGAAGAGCCAGAGGGGGTCGGTGGGCTGTCCCTGACCACGGCCTCGGCCCCCCTGCCTCAGGGATCCTGTGGAACCTGTCCTCCAGCGACCACCTGAAGGACCGCCTGGCCCGAGACACGCTGGAGCAACTCACAGACCTGGTGCTGAGCCCCCTCTCGGGGGCCGGGGGACCACCCCTCATCCAGCAGAACGCCTCTGAGGCTGAGATCTTCTACAATGCCACGGGCTTCCTCAGGTGCGCTGGGCAGGGGGCCGTGTGCTGGGGAAAGAGCCCGTGCAGGGGAGGTCTGAATGACAAGGTGGAGCCAGCCAAGGGGGCTGGAAGAAGTGGACAAACCAAGCAAGGCACAGGTGCTGATGCAGGAGTGGGACAGGCCCCCAGGTGTCACTGTCATTTTTATGTCGATAGACCCTGGGGGCTGCAGGTTCAGGTTTCATTAAATCAGAGACTTGATCTGATATTCACAACCCCTCTGGAAGCTTCAAGGAGTGTATGGAGATGGTCATGCAATGGGATCAGGGTCAGCAGTCCAGCAGGGACCTCAGGGGGAGGAGGGATGGGCACTAAGGACCTCAGCCCTTGGATTCCGGTCCCCATGGGGGTGGGCCCTTCCCGGGTCTCTCTGGGGTCTCTGATCTGCTTCCATCCACAGGAACCTCAGCTCAGCCTCCCAGGCCACTCGCCAAAAGATGCGCGAGTGCCACGGGCTGGTGGACGCCCTGGTCACCTACATTAACCATGCCCTGGACGTGGGCAAATGCGAGGACAAGGTGAGGGGCGTCAGGGGGGGGGGCGGGGCACTCGGGGGGCGTGGTCTGTTCTGACGCAGCCTGCCCTCCGCAGAGCGTGGAGAATGCCGTGTGCGTGCTGAGGAACCTGTCCTACCGCCTGTACGACGAGATGCCTCCATCAGCCCTGCAGCGGCTGGAGGGCCGGGGCCGCAGGGACATGGCCGGGGCGCCGCCGGGCGAGGTGGTGGGCTGCTTCACACCGCAGAGCCGGCGGCTCCGAGAGGTGGGTGTGGGCCTGGGCAGCGGGAGCAGGGGACAGCCTGACCCTGGCTGACCCTCGCACCCTCCGCCCAGCTGCCCCTCACAGCCGACGCCCTCACCTTCGCGGAGGTGTCTAAGGACCCCAAGGGCATGGAGTGGCTGTGGAGCCCCCAGATCGTGGGCCTGTACAACCGCCTGCTGCAGCGCTGTGAGCTCAACCGGCACACCACAGAGGCCGCCGCAGGGGCACTGCAGAACATTACCGCCGGCGACCGCAGGGTGAGGGGGCCACGCCTGGTCATGTGCTGGGGTCACGTGGGTGAACGCGGATGGGAGCCCCTGCTCGAGGAGTTTGTTGTCTATTGGGGGAGGGATAGCGAGACAGATGCAAAGTCGTGGATGAGCCAGAACATCAGAGTGACCAGAGAGTGACGGCCTCTGAGCTGGGCAGGAGGGACAAGAAAGGAGGGGACCGCAAGGAGCGGGAGGTCAGCGTCCCAGATGGGCCAGGTCAGGGACCCTGAGATTTCAGGTTCTGCACTGGGTTTAAGGGGAGGGGACTGGGAGGTCTGAGCTGTGGGAGGGCTCTGGACTGAGTGACGTTTGGTGAGGCTCCTGGCTGGGGTGCAGAGGCAGAGAGAAGCCAGTCCTGCCTCAGTTTCCCCACTAAGGACGCATGCAGAGAGGGCACGCTGCCACCTGACCTGCCTTCAGCAGCCCTCTCTCACCTGCAGTGGGCGGGCGTGCTCAGCCGGCTGGCCCTGGAGCAGGAGCGTATCCTGAACCCACTGCTGGACCGTGTTCGGACGGCTGACCACCACCAGCTGCGCTCACTGACCGGCCTCATCCGAAACCTCTCTCGGAATGCCAGGAACAAAGACGAGATGTGTGAGTCAGGCATCCCGTAGCCCGGGCTCTGCCCTCACCCCGCCCAGTGGGCTCACTCCTGGATGTGGTCTTTATTGCTGCCCAGCTGGGCTGGCTTCCAGCCAGCTGGAGCCGGGTGGACAGACAGGCACGTCAGCTCCCTGGGGCTGGGAGGGGCTGACACTGACCTCCTGGCCTCCTGCAGCCACCAAGGTGGTGAGTCACCTGATCGAGAAGCTGCCTGGCAGTGTGGGTGAGAAGTGTGCCCCGGCCGACGTGCTGGTGAACATCATCGCTGTCCTCAATCACCTGGTGGTGGCCAGCCCCATCGCCGCCCGGGACCTGCTCTACTTCGACGGGCTTCGCAAGCTGGTCTTCATCAAGAAGAAGTGTGACAGGTGAGGCCCCCGCCCCAGCCCGGGCCCCCCTCCCACCCTCCCTCTGGCAATGCCTGTCCCCTGCTGAACCCTGCCCCTGTCCCCCAAGCCCCGACAGTGAGAAGTCCTCCCGGGCGGCCTCCAGCCTCTTGGCCAATCTGTGGCAGTACAGCAAGCTCCACCGAGATTTCCGCGCGGTATGTTCCAGCAATCCAGGGCAGGCAGGGCCGTGGGTGTGGGACCTGGGAGAAGGGCGTCGGGGAGGGACTCGGAAACCATGTGGAGCAGGAGACCCAGGGGGAGGGAAACTCGAACAAGGAGACCAGGGGTCCATGCCAGCACCCCGGGGCGCGTGGGTTGGGAAGCAGGGCTGGCCAGCACACCTTACACAGCTCCCTCCACTGCAGAAGGGCTACCGAAAGGAAGACTTCCTGGGCCCATAGGCAAGGCCTTCCTGGCGGAGGACAGTACGTCTCGGCCCAGCCTCGGAGGGATGGGCTCAGCTCCGAGCTGCTTGTCGGCCAGCCTGGAGGAGAAGGCTGATGGCCCAGGAGCAGCTCCTAGGAGCCTTGTGTGCAACTTTGAAGGGCCTGGGTCACCAGGGAGAGGACAGGGGATGGGGGCTTGCAGCTGGGGACTTGGCTTCTGCAGGGCAGGGAGAAGGGCCGGGCTTGAGGCTGCTCTGGTGCGTGGGGTGGTGACCAGGTTACACTGGCAGAGGTGGGGCTGGCCAGGGCCCGGCAGTGCCTCAGGACAGCCAGCGCTGGGAATAAAGGTGGTCGTGAACACAGCAGCCACAGCCCCGCATGCTTCTTTGGCTGGCCTGACCCCCAAGGACTCCACAATGTCCCCAACCACAACCACACCTGCCCCTGGGCTCACACAGGCCTCTCCAGGTCAGGGAGGAGGGAGTGTCCATAAGGAGAGAGCTGGCCAAGAGTAGAACAGATGGGGCATATAGCAGAGGCCTTGGTGCCACCCGAGGCAGACGCAGCAGAACTGGGGACTTTGTGCACAGGACTGACCGCTCCTGGGGCAGCTGTCATGTGACCACCCGACTTTGGTGCTGCCCACTGGACTGTGCTCATGTGGCAAATGTACCCAACACCTCTCTTTGCCCTGCCCCCCTGGGCTGGGGGTGCCCTGACCAGAGCCTCTAATACTGTCCATCTGAGGCTTGGGGTCCAATAGATTCTGGGTCCTCTCCCTCATCTCGTCGAGCCAGGCCACTTGGCTGTGAAGCTCCCACTGATATTTTTACGACAAACAGCTTCTGCAAAGTTCAGAACCTGAAGTCTCCACAGGCCCTGACTCTCGAGGACCTGTCTGGATCAGAGTGGGGCTGGGGACAGCCACAACCCCTAGCAGGGAGACCTCAGGAGGCTATGGCAAGAGACATGTCTGAGCTGGCTCAGGATGGAGAGAGGGAGAGTTTGAGTGGACAGCGAAATTTGGTGACCAAGTGGCTGTAGAGATGAGAAGAGAGGTCAAGGGCCCTGGGATGGGAGTGAGGGTGCTCTGCTCAGGACACTGTGTACCCTCTTCCAGACCCAGGACAGGAGACCGAGGCCCAGGCAGGATCCAAAAAGACTTTATTTTCTGGCACAAGGAGGGACCACTCCTCTTCCCCAAGGGTCCCAGGGCCACAGACAGGCAGGGCTCCAGGTCCCACTCCCAGCTGTCCCTGGCATCCTGTGGCTCCAACACAGGTGGGGGGAGGGGCTACATGTCATCCTTGGACACCAGGCAGTAGAAGTCCGTGCGTGCGCTGTAGTTGCGGGAGCCAAGGTCCGAGACGTCCACCTCGCTAACCTGGCCCTCTCCCAGCGAGACCCCACTTGCATATGGTGGAGCTGATGGCTCCCCAAAGACAGGCCCTCGGACACCTGGGGAGGGGGTACCACCAAGCCTGAAGCTGGGCTGCCCACAGCCGGCCTTCTGCTGGGCTCACTCCCTGCTCACCCTCCTGGGTGGTGACAGTTGAGGTCCTGGAGGCTCCCAGGCAGGCCTGAGGCCCAAGTGCCTCTGGGACAGGGGTAGTGAGGAGGGTCCTGGGGCGTCGGGCCTATCCATGAACAGCAGGGAGGAATCCCTGCCACCTGGCCCTCCTGGGCTCCTCCGCCCTGTACAGCCCCCCTCCATCCCAGGGTGTTTCTCAGGGTCAAGGGTGGGCCCGGGTGGGCATACCCAGGTCGCCCGCGGGGTCGGGGTCCAGCTCCGGGTCCAGGGTACCACCTTCTGGAACGCGGCCTCGCACAACCAGCATGGGGTCCTTGTCATCCTGCAGGCGGGTCTGGGGGTCCCCTTCCATCGCTCTGTACTGCACTTTCCGGGGCAGTGCCAGCTGGAGCTCTTTCCAAAAATCGGAGGAAGGCGTCTAAGGGCCAAGGTGGGGCAGTCAGCGCGTGTGAACACACGAGGACACGGGGGATGCAAACACTGGTAGCCCGTCACCTGGCACCTGGCAGTGCACGTTCACTGGTTCCTGGAACCTCAAAGGAGGCCCCTCCTCTGGGCACCATGCCACAGGACCTGCCCCGCCCCAGATTCCGCACCACCCTCCGCACCACGGAGCCGGGCTTCCAGCGCAGCAGGGTCACCAGGTGGCGGTGCTGACGCAGCAGGTGCAGCGCGGGGTGCTCGGGGTCCCGCCGCTGGCCCTCGAAGGTGATGAAGATAGGTCTGCGTGTGAGCTCCAGCAGCCGGCACAGGCCCTCCCTGCGGGAGAGAAGCTGTCAGCGGGGTGCTGCTGCCCCCGGGCCCTGAACCCCGCACGGGACCCACCGAAAGCTGTAGCTGCACCAGGCCTGGCCAAGGAAAGCGTCCGACAGCACCACGATGAGACGCCGGCAGCGGCTCAAGTTCACCAGCAGGTCTGCGGAGGGCTCTGCGGGAACTGGGCATTGGCGGGGGCGGGGCCGGACGGGGTTTTGGGGGGCGGGGCAAGGAAGGCGGGGCCTGGACCCAGGGAGAAGCCACAGGGGCGGGTCCCAGGCCACATGGGGGTCCTATGGGCGGGGTCCGGGCCCGGGGAGGGCGGGAACAGAGCGGGGCGCCGTGGTACCTGCACGCGGCAAGAGGTCACGGGCGTCCAGAAAGAGCTTGTAGCCCCGACGCCGCTCCAGCTGCGGCTTCAGGATGAAGTTCACGAACTTCCGGTCCTCAGGGCTGTCGCTGTAGGAGACGTAGGCGTCGTAGAGCTTCCCGTCTGCGGACAGCCGCGAATAAGTGCGGCCGCTTTCCAGGCCCGGGCCACCACCTACGAGCACTGTCCCCTGGGGTCTTCTACGCTCCCCCGACGCGCGCATAGGGCCCAGGCCCGCCCCCCAGACGCAGACCCCGCCCCCAGGCTGCACCCAGTCCCCTCCCCAGTTCAGGATTCCAGGTGGAACCCCGTCCCAGGATACAGGTCGCCTGCCCCCCTTCTGCGGACCCAGCCCTGTGCCCTCCTAGGGAAGCCCGGCGGCTGACTCCCGTCCCGTCCCGTTCACCCGCCTCACGCACCGTTCACCTCCACCTCCCCGTACGCGTCCTGGTACCAGAGTAGCACATTGAGTCGACACTTCACATAGAGCAGCGCAGCCAGAAGCAGGACCAGCAGGACCAGGAGTGAGGCCAGTACTGCAGCCAAGTGGCCCGCTGGGCCTGGGGACAGCTGCAGCCTCAGCCACGGTATCCCCACCCAGCACCCTCCAGCCTCTAGGCGCCCCAGGCTCCTCCCCAGGCCTCCCCGTGACCCTCTACCCCAGTGTACCCCCCTCACCAACTCTCCAAAGAGTGAAGGAGAAGGAGCTGATGTTCCGGACGGAGCACGTGTAGGCCCCATAGTCCTCAGCACTGGTCAGGTTGACCCCCAGGACACTGGACACAAACACCTCTGACGAGTTGGCCTTGACCCTGAGGAGACCAGGCCCACCATCTCACCTGGGGCCCGAGAGCATCAGTGGATGCCCCAAACCCCACTTGTCTGGGATTCAGCCCTTGGGCCATAAGCTAAGAGAAATGGCAGAACCTGGAGGGAGTGTGGATCTGTTTAGTGACAGTCACCCTAATCCTGGGTCTGGGTCTTGGGGGTCCCCTGGGTGCCAATGGCCAGTGCCTCATTCAGGCCTTAGGACTCTGCAGGCACCCACGGCCCTGGGCAGTCTATAAAGTGTCCACTGGGGCCATCTGTCCCTCAGGTCACTGACCCTCAGTCTGTGTCCAGAATGGCACTCAGCCCAAGTCCCTGTCCAGGTGGCTACAGATCAGGGTGTAGGTCTGAGAGGACACTGGCCACTGGTATATCCAGGGTGGTCACTGGCCCTGGACATCCCAGTCTCTTACCAGGAGTCCTCGTGGAGGTCATACTGGCTTCCATTGCCCAGTGGCAGCCCATCTTTTAGCCACTGGACTGAAGGCCGGGGACAGTGGGGCTCAGAGACCACCAAGGCTGTGCAGTTCAGAGTGGCCACACTTCCCAGGGCAGGCCCCAAGACCTGGTTTCCAGAAGGGGAGAGGAAGTCAGGGGCCCTGTTGCAGACACCTGCAGAAAGAGGACCCAGTGGGTTAGCCGTGCCCAGGACGCCGGGCTGCCACTGTCCACAGATGGTCTGTGGGCCAGGAAAAAAACAGGACAGCCAGTGGCATGTGTTGCTTGGTGGCGACACCATGTCCTTCCATGAGTCCCACGGAGGACAGGGCCCAGCATCTGGCTGGTCGTCCACCCAGGACATGAGCCCCAGTAAGGACCCAGGCACTGCAGCCCTCAGCCCTGCCCCCACTTCTAGGAGGGCTGAAGCAAGTGTGGACAATGGTGGTTTGGGAGACTCAGGTGCTGGGCATGCCAGCACCTTCCACCTGGGATGGGAGCCAGGGGTTCCAGGACCCTCTGCTGACCACGCAAGCCTTCCCACCTCCCTGAGACCTAAACTTTCTCATCTTAAAATCGGACCGAGGAGTACTACTGGGAGTCAGAGAAGGCAGCCATCATCTGGGTGGTATGGTCCCCCCGCAGCCCACATCTCCCTGCCCCACCCCTAGGGACCCCAGCAGCATCCACCCCAACGAGTTGGTCTGGGGGCCTTGGGCAGGAGAGGGCTCAGGGCCCATCCTAAGTGCAGGGCCAGGACTGCGGGCCATGGGGGAGGGGCAAGCAGAACCCGGGCAACATGGCAGCCTGGAGCCAGTGAGGTGCAGGTGACATTGGGGCCCGTACCCGTCCCTCTCTGACCAGTCTACCTGCCATGGTCTATCCAGGGCCTCCTCGGGCAGGCTGGGCACGGTGCCACCCCTGGCTTCACGGGCTCCTCAGCCAAGCAGACTGAACCCCAAGGGCTGGGCAGGATTCACTCTCTGTCCTTGTGGTGGGTCAGTTAGGGTGCCAGGATGGGTCAGAGGCTGCCACCATCCCCAGGGAGCAAGTTAAACAAGAACAGGGTGAGTTAACGTGTAACTTTGGCCACAGACAGCACTGTGCACTGGCTGCCTCCCGGATGCCAGCACATCATCACTCTGAGCACCTTACATGAGGGCTGGGAGGGGCCCTCAGCTGAACTTCACCTGCCCCAGGGCCACTGTGACGGCCTGCGTGAGACAGTGGGCCTACATCCCTGGGACCTTCACGAGGCCAGGAGGTGGCCTCTCCTGTGGCCTCTCGTGCCACCCTCCCCCTGCAGTCTGTGTTGCACACGCAGCCCCTCCCCACACACGCCTGCACTAAGCTCCCACCTTGGCCCATGTGCACACAGGCACACTCCCACACTCACATCACTGGTCCACAGAGCTGGCACACACAGCACGTGCTTGGAACAGTTCCCCAGAGACACACAGCCACGGGCCTCTGCACACCCCCACCACGCTATGAACCGCACACCCACCCTTGGCACACACACAGCCTCCCATTGTCCCTCACGCTCCCACAGGCGCACACACACAATGCACACACGTGCACACACATGCCACACATGTTGCGGGTCTCCCCTCAGCCAGGCCTGACTCCGGGGACAGGCCTCAGACCAGGAAAGGCCTCAGAGGATGAGGACACAGACTCGTAAGAGCAGTGGGCCGTTGGGGGAGGACACGAAGTCACCTGGTTCCGGTTCTTTCCTCCCGGGAGGGATGCTGGTCCCTGCAGTCACTGAAGTGTGCTTGGGAGCAACCTGCTCAGCGGGGCCCCCAGCCCAGGCCCAAGCACCAAGGCTGCTCTGGAGGCATCTCCAAGTACAGCGAGGACCTGGCTTTTGTTTGTGTTTTAATCGGAACTTTCCCGTAGCTTCCTGGCCTCGCAGTCACATCCTCTCCTAAACCTAAACCCCACCCAGGCACCCACCCACCTCCGGCAGGCAGGCGGGCAGTTGGTGGCTGTCGCTCCGCCTGCCCCCGCCAGCCCCGCCTGCCCCGCCTGCCGCTCTTCCTGTAACTGAGTCACGGGCTCCTTCCTCTGGGCCCGCCCCAGCCCACCGGGCACCGTCCTTCCCACGGCCAGGCCTGGGGTGTGGAGGGAGGTTGCAGAGGGGCTGGGGCCCAGGGTAATGTGAGGGGGTCCTGGTAAGGAGACCCCCAGTCAGGGCTGTCCTGCACTGGGCAGGATAGCCTGCTTCCTGCACACCCCACAAGATGCCACACCAGGGAAGTGAGGGCGTCTCCATGTCATCCCCCCAAGTGAGGGCCCCATGAGTGTCTGACCTCTGACCTGCTAGGGTGAGGGGAGTCCTGCGGAAACCCCTGCCAATAATGGGGCCTTGAGCAGGGCTCTTTGGTGCCCTCCCTGTCCACCTCCCAGGTGTACCCCCCAAACTTGCAGTTGCAAGTGGGCTGCAGTATCATATGGACCTTGGTTTCGGGCTGGGGTGGGAAGACAGTGACCCTTTTTCCAGATGCGGAAGCAGAGGGCCTCCACTCTGAGCCAGGTGGGGAGCAGCCAGTGCTTCCAGTGGCCACCACCGACACCCCTCACCCCCCAGACCAACCTAGGACTCTGTGCTGGTGGCTGGCATCAGTGCCCATAGAAAGCAGTCCCTGACCCTGCCCTCCCCACACAGGGCCACCAACAGGGCCTCTTCCTCACTGCGACAGCTAGCTTCCCTACATCCTAATCCCACCGTGACCCAGCACTGCCAGCCACACTGTGGCCCTCAAGGACCTTGGGTGAGGGTCCCAGAACCGGAATGAAGCCTCCTGAAGGCACGCCACAGCCAGGACCAGCCCCTCCTCCAGGTGCCCAGTGACGCCCCCCACCCCTTACCTCCAGCAGTCAGCCACCAGCCTAGCACAGGCGGGAACACCGCGCCAGCTCTCCCCGTGTCCCCCACCAGCCTCGCTGCCTCTCAAAACTCCTGGCAGACTAGCCACTGCTGTGTGCCCGTCTGTACCACCAGCTCCCAGCCGCGACTGGATGCCCCTGGCCTCTGCTAACGTCCACCCTCACCCTCCCTCGCCCCCAGGCCCACTCTCCAAGGGGAGCAGAAGACCCCACATCGCGTCAGGCACTCCAGCGAACAGCCCTTCCGAATCCAGGCCCGCCCCCTGCACCGCCTAGCACCTTCGGCCCCACACCCTGTGGTCCCTAGAAAGCCCCGCTCCTCCGGCCTCAGGCCCGCGCGGTGGGGCTGCAGCCCCGAGCCTCGCTGACGGCCCCCCGCCGCGCCGTCGGCTTTGCTGATCTGCACCCCACAGTTTTCGAGCGTTTCCCCTACATCTGGGGTGCGCAGCCCCTCTGCGCCCCGGACTTCTCTCCTGAAGGAAAGAACGTGCATAAGATGCTCCGTTGCGCTCTCCCCGGCCCACGACGCCCACTTCTCTCTTGCCACCCCCCCACATCCTGCGCTCCGCCTTCCGGGGTGGGGACCGGCCTTACTACCCCCCAACAACGAGGCGCGGTGAGCAGGTAGTCGGGGACGCGCGGAGGGGACGGGTCGGATGGTGGGCAGACCTCGCTTGGCAGGCCGGGGACGCGCACGGAGGGCGGGAGCGCGCGGAGGGCGCTAGCTCCGCCTGGCGACCCGTGTGCCGCGGCCCCCTGCGGGTTTCTCCGCCTTCCCACGGCGCCCTTGGAGGACTTGGGGCGTTGGTGGGAGTCCCCGCGCGCCCCGGCACTGCCCCGTCTCCCCCGCGCAAAGGTCACGAGGAAGCCACTGCCCTCGTCGGGCGGAGCGGGAAGGCCCAAGCGGCCGGGACGCGGACCAGCTCGGGCTTCCGGGAGACGCGGGCAGCCGGCCCTGCTCCGAGCCACTTCCTGCGGGACCGCGCCCGCCAAGGCCCCGGAGGTCCCCTCCTGGGCCCCCAAGCTCCAGGCCTGGTCCGGGCTCCTAGGAGTCAGCGACCTCCACTCACACCTCGTAGGTTGGAGCTGTGACTGCCACTCACCTAGTGCCAAGACCTGGGGTTTGCGCGATCGCGTGAGCGCCGCGGCTCACCTAGGCCAGGTGCGCAGCGGTGACGGCTCCAGCGGCGGCAACAGGTGCAGCCCCGCCCAGCAGCCAGGGCCGAGGGCGGACCCAAGTGTCCCGCTTTGTGCCTAAGGCTGGCCTCAAGGCTGTCCTGCGTTCAGCTCCCGGTAGCTGCGGCCGGCAGACCTGGGGGCAGAGGCCAAACCGGCCCAACCAGCGCTTAGAGTCTCCGTGCCCGGTTCACTGGGGGACTCCTTGTTGATTTCCCCCCAGGGGCACCTTTTGTGGTTCTGCACCCCCCTCCCCAGCTCCTCCTCTTCCTCCCGGAAGACTCTGACCCCTAAACCCCACGTGCAGGGAGCGTAGGGCCTCAGTAAGGTGCCCTTCACTTTTGGAAGCTTATGGAAACCCAGAGGAGGGCCAGGAGGCTGCCACATCCAGACCTTTTGCCATCTGGGCCTCAGTTTTCCACGTAGCCCCGAAGGCAGACACAATCCACCTGAGGCCCAAAAGTTGACAGAAAGAGGTTTTATTTTATTATAAAAACTTCTGCTGGCTGAGGGGAGCCAGAGAGGTGGGGTCAGGGCCCCACCAGGATCTGCAGCCCAGAAGTCAGAGGGAGGCCCAGGAAACTGCTGGTCTTCCTGTGTTGTGACTGCATGAAAAGCCCCCTCCCCCACAGCTGCATGGTGGCAGTGGTCACCCAGAGTTCACGTCAGGGTTATGCCAATCCTGAGCCCTAATGGATGTAGCAGGCTTCACACATGCTGCTCCCAGGTGCCCCAAGCATACACAGGCAGCCCATATGCAGACTTGCTAGGACCCCTCATGTACACGGGCCACCTGGGACCTCTCACATACACCCACATATATGAGGGCCTCCTTACAGCACCCCCCCAGCACACACACATGCACAGTCCTGGGCAGTGGAGGGAGGTGGTGGTGGTGGTTCTGAGTCTTGGCTCCTGGGCGCCAGTGACATCTCTGGGTTCCCCTACACGGTTGTGGTCTTGGGGCTGGAGCTGGAGGTAGGAGTGGAGTTGGTGGGGGTCCCCTAGGCCCAGCCCCACCCCGCCCTGCTCTGCCTCCCATACCCCATCTCCTGGAATTTCCGGTGCTTCTCCCGGAATGTCTGGTACTTCTCCCGGAGTCTCTGGTACTTCTCCTCCAGAACCCTGTTCTTCACCGACTGAGGGACGTCAGGCACAAACCAAGCAGCCACGAGCTTGATGCACAAGGCCACGTGCTGGGGGTGGGACAGGGGCTGAGTTGGGGGTCAAGCAGGCTGAGGAGGGATTTTAGGGCCTGGGGGCCAGAAGGAGGGCTGGAGAGAGCAGCCCACCTCAGGGTGCCCAGTTCTGGCCCACCTCGAAGAGGATGAGGAAGGCCAGGCGGATGGCCAGCAGGACCCAGAACTGCTCGGAGAAGTTGTAGTCCTGAGACGGATTGCGGTAGTCCCGGTACCTGGGGTGGGAAGGACCAAGGTCAGGGGTCAGGAGTTCAGAGGGCACTGGTGGGGGTGGGTGGGGGGAGGAGGGGGTCAAACCTGCACTCGGTGATATTCTCCGAGCCCTCTATCCTGCCAGAGTCCCGGAAGTGCACGGTGTGGAACACCGACAGACTATGGTTGATGTAGCCTGTGAGGCAGCTGCGGGGGGGAGAGGAGCGAAATGTTGGGGGGGGTGCACTGCAGGATGTGGCCCCTTCAGGCATTGGCTGTTTCCCTGGAGCTGAGTCCTGTCTGGTGGGGCCATCCCGGTGGAGGCACAGTGAAGACCCCTCCATTCCCCTATGATGGGGGCCACTGGGAGAGGCTGAAGGGACGTGGGGATGCCTCTCCTGCCAGGGACTGAGGGGGCCATGCCAGTTGTACCCACTTAGTAAACAGCTCGGGCTGGGTCATTAATCCCCACCGGGGTCCCGGTGCTCCTGGGCTCCAGCCCAGGGCCTGCGGGTCAGTGTGGGAGGGCAGGGCCACCCCAGGCAATACTGGCAGCATGGTGGCTTCTCCTGGGCTCCCCTGGGCTGGGCTGTGGTTGGGCCACTTTTTTCAGGGTTCTCTGGACAGTTTGAGGCTCCCCAGGGCTGTATGGCAATGCCCCCTTACTCGACTCCAGGGTTGGCCCCCTCTCGGCATGGGCCATATCGGTACTTGTACACCACGCGGGGGATGAACTCAGATGTGAAGGCGATGACCATCCCATTGGCGATGACCGCCAGCACGCCGATGGTCTCCAGCACCTGCAGCCAGGTCCCTGGGCCACAGCAGTGGAGTGAGGCGGTCTGACTCCTCAAGCCGTGACTACTGTACAGACCACCCCACCTCCACCCACCCGTCCCCCAAGGCTGGAAGCCTGGAGAGTCCCAGAGTCTTGTCACACCTCTGCAAATGGCACCCCACTGCCTGGGGCCCCAAGGGGGCTGCAGGCCCTTCAGCAACATCCTGGGGTGGAAGGGAGGGCCCTGCCTCTTTCTGGGGCCTGAGCCCACCCCCCTCTTGGCAGATGGGAGTGCTGGGGGGCTGTCTGTGGGGTGAGGGGGCTGGCCTGGCCACCACTGCTTAGATTGGTTGTTTCAAGTGGACTGGCATGGTCCCCGTGCCCCTTGCCACCCCAGCCCCTGGGGTTAAGCGCCCCGCCCTGCGCAGCCATCTCATTGGCGCCCAGACCGATGTCCTTGGCCTTGCGTGGCACAAGGCGCCGCTGCAGCTGGACCATCTTGATGGCGTCCAGGCGAATTTCCACGAGGTTGCTGAAGAGCGCGAGCAGCGGGGCCAGCGGGAAGGCTGCCACGAAGATGGTGGTGAAGCCGTACTGGATCACTGGACGGGGGAGCGGGGTGGTCACCCTGAGCTCCCGGGCCCTCCGCCCCCAGCCCCCCAGCTGCAGCCCACGCACTCATTTCCATAAACTCATCGAACAGGCTGAAGGTGTAGACGGGGTTCAGGCGATAGTTGCGCTGCCAGTCCCTCAGCTCTGGGTCCCAGGACTCACGGCCCCCCATTGAGCGGCACTTGTGGGCCAGCCACCTGGGAGTGAGGAGAGCCAGGTGGGGACAGGGAATGGTGCTGGGGGTGGAGGGGCCCCTGGAACTGCTGGCTCTGGGAGGTGGGGAGACGGGTAAGGCATCAGGCAGGGGTCGGAGGTTCAGGCACCCCAGGGGAAGGACGGCGGTCCTCACGGGCACAGGTATTCCATGCAGTTGCTGAGCGTTTGTTTCAGGCCCATGATGATGGCCATCTGCACGAACAGGTCCACCATGCAGCCGCTGAGATGGCACTGCGGGCGGGGTGGGGGTGGGCGGTCAGGCCTGGACAGCGCCGCTCAGGGGCGGGGCAGCAGAGCCGGCAGGACACACTCACCTCCTCCAGCTTCCACAAGCCCGCCAGGCGCACGGAATTCCCAGGGTGACCGTTGATCCTGGAAGGACAGTGAGGCTGAGGGCAGCACTCTTCCTCTGATAGGGTGGGGGTGGAGCAGGACAGAAGTGGCAGTGGGGGGGCGGGGGGAGGAGAAGAGGGTGCCCCGCAGGTGAGCAGGGGCTTTGGCCCCATGCCCCACCCCACGCACACAGTGGGCGGGGAAAGCTCAGCTGGTCACCAGCTCCGACAAGCGTGCGTTCTGGACAAGGCCTGTTAGGCGTGGCCTCAGTTTCTCCCATGGAAACTGTGCAAACAGGGTTGCTTTGTGTTTAAGTCACCATTAAGCCAAAGGCTGGGCTCATGCTCTGGTGGTGAAACCCTGGAAGCACTTCTGTTATCGTTTCTGACAACTATTCAACACAGTTCTGGAACAATATAAACTGGCAAAGGGAAAAGTTACTGTTTTAGAAAACAGGATCATGTACCTGGAAAACCAAAACACACCAAGTGAAAGACTTGGATAAATCAACTGACAAGTGCTCAGAGGGAGTGGAATTGGTAGCAAGGCCGATTGACTTCCTGGGTGCCACGAGACCAGTGGGGATGGAGCAGGAAGCAATCTGCCACACACACACTGGCAAAAACTGAAACAGCGACAGTGAAATTCATGAGAAATCAGTGGGCCCCATGTGCAGAAAACTGTAGAACTACAGTTTTGGTTAAAGAACATTAACCAAAGACGTGGATATAGAAAACTTGTTCTTTGATTGGAAAAGTCAGGATTGTGTGTTTGTGGGAGACAGAATGACGGGCTCCCAAAGGCGACCACATGCTAATTCCTGGAGCCTGTGACTATGTTATCTTACACAGCAGGTGGCACAGAGGTTGCTGCCTGCTGACCTCAAAGTGGGGAGCTTATCCTGGATTATCTGGGTGGTCCCAGTGTGAGCACCAGGGTCCTTAAATGGGGAAGAGGGGGGAACCAGAGAAATGGCAGGATGAGGGCTCAGCCACTGCTGCTGGCTTTGAAGATGATGGAGGGAGGGGCCAGGCATCAAGGGATTCAGGCGGCTTCTAGAAGCTGAGAAAGGCAGAGCAAACAGAATCTGGTACCTCCAGACAGAACGCAGCCCTCTGGCACCTTGATTTCAGCTTGGTGAGGCCCATTTTGGCTTTCTGGTCTACACAGCTGTACGTTGCTTAAAGCCAGTAAGCTGTGGTCATCTGTCACGGCAGCAACAAAACTAACACAGTATCCATGTTGGATCTCCCTAAAAAAACGTATAATTTCACTGCAATCTTAAGCTAAACCCCACAGAACTTCGATGTAGTTTAACAAAATGATTCTAAAGTTCACCTAGAATAATAAACGGGTAAATGACCATAAAAAAAAAGGAAAATCAAGAAAGGAGTAAGGAGCACAGGCCCATCTGGCTAGCAAAGCACAAAATGCACACAAATAAAATTTTTAAAAAGCACAACACAGTGAGTGTTGGTCTTTTGGGAACAATAAAACAGGCTTCCCTCTGCCCATTGCAGCACAACAAATCCCTCATGAATCAAAGATTCAAATGTTTAAAATGTTGAAACTATAACATGTAAAGGAGATCACAGCTGAACACCTTTTTAGTCTTGGGGGGGGGGCCTCTTGGCGTACGGCCTGAAAAATGGACACAATAAAGGAGCATACAAACTGCATGACATAAAGAAGAAAACGTGCCCCAGAATAATACGGGCTACTGGATAAGCATTCCCGTCCTGTCCCCCAGAGACCCACACGCAATCAGGCGGCGTGTGGAGGGGTCCAGACTCTCCGCTTCCATCTGCTCCACTACCTGCTGACGGCATGACCCTGCGGTGGCTTCTTCACCTCTCTGGGCCTCAGTCATCTCATTTGCAAAAGGAGGATAAGAGAGGCCCTACCCAACAGGGCTGCTGTGCAGCTTAGAATCGAATGTGAAGCGCTTAGAAAGTGGGAGTGGACAACGGGTGTGAGTTATTGCAAAGACCTATCCCGTCTGCCCAGGAACTCCCAGTCCGCCCTTCGTTCTTCAAGATAAATGGGAACTTTGTATCTTCAGGTACAAGGAAGACCAGCTGTGCAAGGGAAAAGGACCACAATGAAGCAGCAGGACCCTTTAGGGAACAAGAGATAATCAGGGAACAGAAGAGAACTTACAGGGGGGAAAAATCCACTGACACCCTCAAGAAAACACTGCATCTATGACAATGAGAAAAAGATGCTACAAAAAAAAAGACTTGGAAATTAAGACTTTAATTGTTAAAACAGATAGAGAGGCAAAAAGACAAAGTGAAGGAAATCTTCAGATATTGACTATAAAGACAGAGATGGAATATGTGCGAGAAAAGGTAAGAAACACCGAGGAGAAACCCAAGAGGACCAGGAGTTCCACACAGAGAGAGCAAAGGGAAGATTGTTTTAAAAACTAAGAAACAATTTAAAAAAGAAAAAAGAATTTAGTGCGCCTAAGCAGGATGTTTTTTTTTTTTATTGGAAGGACCCACTAATGGACCAGCACAACGCATGAAGAAAAGACCCAGCCCTAAGTTGTTCCCTAGTTTAAAGAGAAGATCCTAAACTTCTAGAAGGAAAAAGACTAGGTCAGCTAGGAAGGAACAAAAATCACATTTCCTGCTTGCTTCTCCTCTTGCATGTTCTAAGACAATGGATCAATGCATTTGAAGTTCTACAAGGGAATATTGTTTTGATGCTAGATTTCTGTACCCAGTCGTGCAAGGGTACAATAACGACGTCTTTAGACATACAAGAATTCAGAAAGCTCACCTCTCAGAAACACTTCCGGAGGTAAACGAAAGCCAAGACCAAGGAAGAGGAAGGCTTAGGGATCCAGGAGGTGATGGGCCAGCCCAGCAAAGCAGAAGATGGAAATCCTAGTGGGACAGCTACAAAGGACGCACAGAGGAGCTGGCCCGGTGCATCGAGACGACTGGAGGGTCCCGAGGGAGGCTCTGGGAGGAAACAGACCCCTGCCATGGATGGTATGATAGAGGCTCATCAATGCAACGGTCAATAACTATCTGGAAAGATGCCAGACTCTCACTAGTAGTTTTTTATAAGGCACCTTTAAAAACAAGCCTTTGCCCATCGCCTCGAGGGAGTGTGCAATAGAGGGCACAGCGGGTGGCTTTGTGGGTGAGCATGGCATTTTTGGAGGTCCCTTTAGCACTCTACCTAAATTCAAATGAGCTCTCCAACTGTCAATTAAAATGGCTGGCTGCTGACACAGCCTACCAGTCATCACCTCGCAGATGAAGGGAACTGGATCGTAGTGTTGGGCCAGTGGACACTGAGCCCGCACACCGTACCCCAGCTGGGCTCCCAGCACACGGACAAGCATCCTTCCTCCTCCAGGCAGGAGACCCTGAATTCCCCTCCAGGGACCAACAGACACATGCGGCTCAGGCGAAAGCCACTGGCATGTGCCTTTCTCAATTATGGACAGATGGCCAAGAACCGAGGATATCTAAGGAAAGCCCCTACATCAAAATCAGAGGACGCTCGAAGAAGGAACATAAGAGAAAGTCAGAAGGAGGAACAGAAGCGATGCTAGAGTAGGAGAAGGAACAGAAGCAATGCGTCATCAGGCGAGGACAGGCAGGGCGTGCTGGGAGCATGAGGAGGAGGCTGCGAAGAGCCTGCTGACATCCAAAGGTGTGTCCTGAACTAAGTACGCAGGCAGAAGTAAAACGTTCCATTGCAGGGTTGGAAACAGAGTTGAGAGCAAGTCCCCAAAGCTGGAACAAAAACGGGAGAAAAAAAAGCAAAGACAATTAGATGGTCAATCCAGGAGATCCAATTTCCAAACAAAAAGAATTCCAGAGACGGGAGCAGAGGTTATCAAACACAAGACGCACAAAAATCCCTCAGACGGCCTGAGGCTTGAGCCCAGCTAGGGCAGCGGTTCCTTCTCACGTGATGCAACACACCTTGGTGCTATGGCCAGGTCTGCCATATGGCTGAGAACTCAGCAAAGGACAGGTCCCCTTCCCTGCAGGAGCCGCCGTTTAGGAGAGACAGTAGACAGAGAAGTATGTGGTGGGTCCTGGGCAGCCAGGTGAGATGGAGGCCACGGCAGGGGAAGAAAAGGGTTTGGGGGACCCAGGTTCTCGCCCAGCCATGTGGAGGCTTGGGGTGCCTGCAGGACATCAGAGGGGGCATGTCAAGAGGCAGCTGGCGCTGTGAGTCTGGGCTCCAGGGGGAGGTCTGGGCTAAAGATAGAAGTGTGTGTGTTGTGTGTGTGTGTAACGGTACCTAAAGTCACAAGAATGGGTGCTGGGCAGGGCGACATTTACACTTTAGGAGAAGAGGAACAGCTGCAGGGGAGGCCAGAAACTGGATGTGATGGTGAGAGGATTCTATGAAAGACAAGTGACAGCACATTCGGGATGGCGGAGGAGGGGTGGGGGCGACGAGCAGTTGAACGAAAAAGACCCACGCAGACTCACAGCTGAGAAACTCAGAAGCCTGGGGACCTGAGAAGAGGTGCAGTCACAATTGCAATGTTGCACGCCCATGGGAGGCAGCGCTGGAAGTAGGCTGAGGGCAGGGTGTCCACTTAGAGGCCCAGCGCAGCATATCTGACCCCCACCTGCTCTCCTCAGGAAGCCACTGGGAAACCTGGGGTCCTATGTGGACGGAAGGGCCATCTTGTGACTTTAAGCACAGCCCCAAGGGGAAGGGAGGGAAGCCAGGCTGGCGTCCCCAAGGAGAGGCAAGGTCACGGCACCCCAATGTCTCTGAACATACTGGAGGAGTTGAGATTTTTTTTTTAAAGTTCTGGTAGAGAGTGTGGGAATAACTGGCAACATGCATGTACCTTACAAAATTTAATCAGACACACAAAACGCGTGGAGCAATGATTTTCGTCAGAAAGGATGAAAACCTATTTTGATTGAACCAAAAAGATTCATTTTACTAATTAGGAAGATGAGGGGAAATGTGTGTGCGTGTGTTATGTGGGCTGCTCACTGAGGCTTTAGTCGTAAAAATCAAAATTGGAAATAACCCAAAAGTCTACCCACTGAAGTGCTTAGTGAGTTCCAGCACATCCCACAAAACAACGCTCACAGGGCAGTTTTAAATGAGACCTCCCCAATCATGCGGACACGGAAGAGGCCTCTAGCACGTTTTCATGTAAAAAGCAGTAAGTGTTTACACAGAACCACTGTATATGTGTGTGCACATTACGGGTGTCAAAGTCTGATCAGACCCACAGACGGCGACGGTGTCCCCTTGGGGATGGGACTGCAGAGTTGGGGGTTAACCATGGGCTTCCTGTACTGCGTTCCCACTTGTTCTGAGCATGAAATATTTTAAAAATTAAAAAGAGCAGGCCTCCCCTTTTTCAGGGGGAGAGTGGACTTGGAGGGCGGCCCTCACCTGCCCAGGATGAAGGCGATGTAGACCAGGGAGGAGAAGTGGGCGAAGAACTGCAGGGTGAAGAACTTGATGGTGAACTTGCTCTCGCGCTCCGAGAAGGTCCTGGGCTTCTCTGGAATGAGACGTGGGCTGTCCCTCACCCGTCCCTAGCCCCACGACAGTCCCACGCCTGGTCTGTCCCTATTCTGACGGCTCAGAGACACCCACAACCCTCGCCTGTCTCCCAGGTGCGAGCCCCTGCCGTCTGGTGGGAGAGGTGATAGAGACAGCCCCCTGCCCCGACCCAGGCCCCAAGCCTCCCAGCCTCAAATCCTCCCTCTGCCTCCCTTGTCTGCCCAGAAGCCAGGGCGGGGCTGGGGGCCCCTGCTCTCACCAAAGTCACAAAGCTTCAGGGCCACATGCTTGTTGATCTGTGGGAGGGGAGACCAGAGGGCTCACTGTGGGCCTCAGGAGAGACGGCCCCCCTGCTGCCCCACCCCCCTGCCCCCCCCACCTTGGTCATGATGAGGATGGTGATATAGTGCACCAGGGCCCCGGTCACCACCACAGCCGTGGTCACCTGCTCCTCCAGGAAGGGCAGGGACGAGTTGCTGAAGAGGGCAGAGGCCAGGACGCGGTAGACCACCAGGAGATGGGCCATGCCGATCATGAGGCAGATCTGCGGACGGGTGGTCAGGACGGAGGGGAGCTGTCCCCTGCTCAGTCTCCAGCCCCCCCCATGGATCCCCAGGAATACCATGAACAAAGACAGGATGAGGATGATGGAGCTCCTCAGGTAGGAGTGCTGGTGCGGCCGGAGCTTGTAGTCAGGAAAGTTAATGAGCTCGAGCGCCATTTCCTCCTGGGGAAGGCACCGGGAGGCCTCAGACACGGGACACATGTTTCACATGGGGACACACGCCTCCAACATGGGGACACACGCCCCTGACATGGCACACACGTGTCAGGGGACACACACCTCAGACACGGGACACCTGTCTCTGACATGTGGACACACACCTCAGACATGGGGCACACACCTCAGACATGGGACACATGCTTCTGACACAGGACACACACTTCTGACATGGGACACACACCTCAGACATGGGACACATGCTTCTGACACAGGACACACATCTATGACATGGGACACACGCCTCAGACATGGGACACATGTCTCACATGGGGAGACACGCCCAAGACAAGGGGATACGCGCCTCAGACACGGCAGACCAGGCGTGGCCACAGAGGGCACTGGGCCACCTGGCAGCACCTCACCTGGTCCTCATCCCACCCATACAGGTCCCAGTGCAGCACCACTTGGGCTCGCTTCCGTTTCCAGATCTCCAGGAACACTGTGGCTGCAATGGGAGCAAGGAGGGTGTTGCCCGGGTCCCGGGAGGGTCTGGGGTGGCGACCCTGCACGCTGGGGGTAGGAGTGGCCCTGGAGCTCAGGCTGGACCCCAGGTGCCCTCAGCCACTCACCCCACAGAGCCATGAAGATTGCAAACAGCACGGTGCCCTCGTTGTCGAAGAGGTGGGTGAGCTGCGGAGGGGTGAGGGCGCACAGGGCTGGGGCCGGCCTCCCCGCCCCCCCAAGGGGCGCCCCCTGCAGGGCCCGAGCTTCCCTTCCCCTCCTCTGAGGACAGGGGGAGCGGGCTTTCCCGCACACGAGTGGGGCCTGGCGGGGTCCCCAGGGCAGCGGCGGCAAACCTTCGCAAAGGTGCAGGTGTCCGAGAGGCGCTGGTACCTGCGTCTGTGGTCGCCGCGAGGGCACATGAAGATGTCGTGGGCCTCACAGATCTCCTTGCTGGGGGTGCAAGGACCCCGCTGGTGGGGCTCTCCCCTGCCTCCTGCCCG